CTCAAAAGCTTCTCCAAGCCTGCAGGTAGCTGCAGCCCCAGCTCCCTCCCAGGGACTGTATCTTAGCTCCACTGTGCTGAGATAAGGCCTGAGGTTCTGGGCCAATCCTGCCCCCAGGGCCTCATACCTCAAATTCAGGGACAGGAGCTGCCAGGGAAGGATTCAGGCTCCAAAGACTGGGACTTAGAGAACAGCCCAGGGTTTCTTTGCCTCATTTTCTTTTTCTTCTTCTTCTTTTTTTTTTTTTTTTTTTGTTGTTGTTGTTGTTTTGAGGACAGAATCTTATTCTGTCCCCAGGCTGGGAGTACAATCGCGCATGATCTCAAGCTCCACTTGCAACCCTCCACCTCCAGATTTCAAGTCAATTATTTCTGCCTTCATCCTCCCAAGTAGCTGGGATAACAGGCACCCGGGCCACCGCACCGACTAATTTTTGTACTTTTTTAGTACGGATGGGTTTCACCATGTTGGCCAGGTTGGTCTTCAACTCCTGACCTCAAGAGTGATCTGCCAGCCTCGGCCTCCTGAAGTGCTGGATTACAGGCCGTGCACCACCACACCCGGCTGCTTTGCCTCATTTTCTGATTTTCCGTTATTGTTGACCTCTGGCATTCCCCTGTCCAGGACTCCAGTTGCCGGGTCTCCCTGGACGTCAAGAGCTACCCAGGTCCCCTGCCTCTGCTGTCTCACGCGTCGAGACCTCCCAAGCCTCTGCTGAGGGTTTCCTGAGGTCCAAAGTCAAAACAAGGTCCAGGCTTCTTCCTTTAGTCCTTGTGATTTCTTTTTTTTTTTTTTTTTTTTTGAGAAGAGTCTCGCTCTGTCCGCCCAGGCTGGGGAAGTGCAGTGGCCAGATCTCGGCTCACTGCAAGCTCCGCCTCCCCAGGTTTACGCCATTCTCCTGCCTCAGCCCCGAGGTAGCGGGCGGAGCTGGAAAAGGCACGAAAGCTGGGGGAAAGGCACGTACAAGAGGGCGAAGGCCTGAAAAGCTAGGCTTCCCACCAATTCATACTCACACTTCCAGGCTGGGCCCCTTTGGTGTCTGCAGCCCTTTTTGTCCCTGTCCCTGTCACCTCCTTAGAAATGCCTGCCCCGACCATGCTCTGACATTCTCCAGTAACCTTCTTCCATTTTCTTTTCGTTTTTTGAGATGGAGTCTTGCTCTGTCGCTCAGGCTGGAATGCAGTGGTGTGGAGTAGCTGGCATTACAGGTGCACGCCACAACAGCTGGCAATTTTTGTATTTTTAGTAGAGACGGTATTTCACCATGTTGGCCAGGCTGGTCTCTCTTACTCCTAACTTCAGATGATCTGCCTGCCTCGTTCTCCCGAAGTGCTGAGATTATAGGCGTGAGCCACCAGGCCCTGCCATAATGCATTTTTTTTTTGTTTTTTGAGACAGAGTCTTGCTCTGGGCCGAGGCGGGAGGATCACCTGGGGTCAGGAGTTCCCTGTCACCTCCTTAGAAATGCCTGCCCCGACCATGCTCTGACATTCTCCAGTAACCTTCTTCCATTTTCTTTTCGTTTTTTGAGATGGAGTCTTGCTCTGTCGCTCAGGCTGGAATGCAGTGGTGTGGAGTAGCTGGCATTACAGGTGCACGCCACAACAGCTGGCAATTTTTGTATTTTTAGTAGAGACACGGTTTCACTGTGTTAGCCAGGATGGTCTCGATCTGCTGACTTTGTGATCCGCCTGCCTCGGTCTCCCAAAGTGCTGGGATTATAGGCGTGAGCAACTGTGCCCAGGCCATAATGCAATTTTTTTAAAGAGATAGGATCTTGCTCTCTTGCCTAGGCTGGAATGCAGTGGAGTGATCATAATGTTATTTATTTATTGTTTTGAGACAGTCTTCTTGCTCTGTCACCTGGGCTAGAGTGCAGTGGCATGATCTCAGTTCGCTGAAACCTTCGCCTCCTGGGTTCAAGTGATTCTCCTGCCTCAGCCTCCGGACTAGCTGGGACTACAGGTGCACACCACCATGCCCCGCTAATATTTGTATTTTTAGTAGAGACAGGGTTTCACCACGTTGGTCAGGCTGGTCTCAAACTCCTGACTTCAGGTGATCCACCTACCTCAGCCTCCCAAAGTGCTGGGATTACAGGCATGAGCCACTGTGCCCGGCCTAATGTAATATTTTAAAAATTCATGCAAAAGAATTGCTGATGAGCAATATATAAAGGCTTTAAATAAGCTGGGCATGGTGGCTTGTGCCCGTAGTCCTAGCTACTCAGGAGGCTGAAGTGGGAGGTTCACTTGATCCTGGGAGGACGAGGCTGCAGTGAGCTAGGATGGCACCCCTGCACTCCAGTCTGGGTGACACAGTGGACTCCATGTTGAAAAAAAAGATGCCGGGCGCGTGGCTCACGCCTGTGATCCCAGCACTTTGGGAGGCTGAGGCGGGAGGATCACCTGGGGTCAGGAGTTGGAGCCAGACTGGCCAATATGGGGAAACCTCCTCTCTACTAAAAATACAAAAATTAACCTGGCGTGGTGGCGGGAATCCGTAATCCCAGCTACTCGGGAGGCTGAGGCAGGAGAATTGGTTGAACCCAGGAGGCAGAGGTTGCAGTGAGCTCAGATTGCGCCATTGTACTCCAGCCTGGGCGACAGAGCGAGACTCCGTCTCAGAAATAAAAATATTTTAAAACATTTCTAAATGTTGATGTCTGAGTTTTTTTGGCGTCCCTATAAATTTTGTTTTCCAGGCGAGAACTTCATTGGCCTCAAGCTATTCCGAGTCCCCAAGTGAATGAAACCTGAGTTTGGCTCCGCCCACAGACCAGTAGACCACGCCCGTCGATCTATCAGCCCCGCCCCCTGAGACCAGGCCCCGCCCCCGGAATGCTAGTCCCGCGGTCGCTCCGTTCCTGCAGCCCCCCGCGCTCTCCTGCGCGTCACTTCCGGGGCGGTGGCGAGAACGAGGCTGACTTCCGCCCGCGGGGGAGCTGCGGCGGTGGCGGCGCAGGAGGCCGGGCCGGGGCGCGGAGGGACCGACGGACGCACGGGCGGACGGCCGGGAGCCATGGAGCGCGGCCCTGGGGCCCCGGGGCGCGGGCCGAGGTGGTGAGTGCCGGGCAGGGGCGGGCGCGGCCGCGCGGGGTGGCCTCGGTCCCGGCCGCGGCCATTTGGGGACCCTGGCCGGGCCGCGAGGGCCTGGCAGCCCAGTTGGACGCCCCCGATTCCCCTGCAGTCCCAGGGCTGCCGCGGGTCCTGCCCGAGGAGCCCGGAGCAGGGGCAGGGACCGCGGGTGAGCGTCTGTGATTGGGAAAGCCCTGTCCCCATCCATTCAGCTCTCCGACGTGGGTTGCGCTCCCACCCTCCTGCGGACGGGGCCCCTGCCTTCGGGGATCGCCCTTCCGAGCCGTGGACTCCGTTCTTTTACCCCGAAACTGCCCCCAGCCCTACAACCGCTTCGTCCTCTGGGCCCCCCTGGCAGCTCCCAGGGGCCCTGCCGAGCCCCGCTTCCCAAGCAGCTCCCAGTTGATGTTTCTCTTGTCAGGCGTCTTCCTGCCGCCTTGACTCCTGGGCAGGGTTCCCGGCCTCCGCTCGCGTCCGTTCTCCGGGATGCAGCCCTTCTCCTGTGTTGTCCATCCACTGCTCGGGACTTCTCCGTGGCCCCGCCATTTCTCCCAAGATGAAGTGCAAACTCCGCAGCAGGGCTCTCGGGGGCGCGACCTCACCCGTCCCAGACTCTCTCTTGGGACCCATCTGCTCACTTCTTCCTCCCAGGGTCTGCTCTAGCCAGGAGTCTGCTCTGTCACCTCTGAGGTTTTGCCCCTGCTTGTCCCTCTGTCCCATCCCCTGTCACCTGGCCCGTTTATCTGCCCTGTGATATGGCCGCACCTCCCCCCAGGCGGGATTCCCACCCTGACTGGTTGAGTGAGGTGCCGTCATCGTCTCCCATATGTAGGTCATCTTCCAGTATTTTGGCTGCTTGGTTGCTTACTGGTCCTCAGAACACCTCTAGCTCGCAGAGGGGTGCCCAGTTATGTGCTTGGGAACGGAATTGGTGGGATTCAGGGTGTCAAGGGTGTGTGCTCAGTCAGTGAAGCGTCCGGGTTTGCACTCCGCAGTCCATGCCCATTAATGACACTAGGGAGGTTCCAGGTACCTGTGGCTGGAGAGGAGAGGAGACTAGACTTTCCCTTCCCTGTCAAAGCTGTCGGACCTTGGGGATTCTTTTCCTCCTGTGTTTCCTCCCTAATTCTTGGCTGCTTACCACCTGCCCATTCCTTTAGTGAGTGGCAGGTCATGGTCCTGCTCTCATGGGGTTTCTGGTTTGGGGGTGGGGGGAGATCTGGCCGAATGTGTGAAAAATACAAGCTGTGGAAAGAGCGTATGAGGGGTCCTGTCCCAGCTTTGAGGACTCTGAGAGCGTTGTTGGCAGCAAGGTGCAAAGGGTGGTTGGGATGGGCAAGGCTATTTAGTGAGGTTGGGGAAGGGAGTTCCCGGCAGGGGAGCAGAGGCAGGAAGGAGCAATGTGGCTTGTCTTAGGAGAGCCAGGGGTGGCAGGGTGTGAGATGAGTGAGTCTGGAGAGGTTGGCCTGAGCCGGAATGCAGACCTGGCAGTCTGTGGGGAGGACTTTGATCTCTATCCAGAGAATAATGGGAGGCCCCCAGGACACCCCAAGAGGGAAGTGCCACCATTGCATTTGTGTCTTGAACAATTGTTTGGCTGTTGGGGGAGAATGTCGTGGAGCAGGTGATCAGCAAGGAGCGAGGCTGTTGCTGTAGCTCTGGTGAAAGGTGATGGAGGCGGGGACCGGGCGGTGGCTGATGGGAGACAGGCAGAGCCACTGGGCTGGTGATGGACCGGCTCAGATCCGGTGGGTGGAAGGAGGTGTCAAGGATAGCATCTTTGTTTCTGGCGTGGTTAATGGGGCCCTGGCCACCTCGGTGTGCCCTTTGGTCTCTGGGGTCTCCAGGGGCCTGCTACTGCCCACTGGGCTATCAGGACTCAGCTGCATGATGCCACCTAAACTGCAGGGCCCTCCAAGCCCCCGGCACCAGCAGGGCAGCACCGATAGGGCCTGGACCTCTTTGAGAATATGTTGAAAAGCTGACATCAACCTCAATGCTGTGGATGTTGGGCCTGATCATTCTTTGGGGTGGGTCTGTCCTGGGCACTGCAGCATGCTAAGCAGCCTCCACCCAGTCCCCGGTGGCGACACCCCAAACTGTCTCCAGACATTGACAGGTGTCCCCGGGGAGAAGATTTGCCTCCATCTGAGAAGCAGAACCAGCATGACAGTCTGCCTCCCCCCTGAGAAGTGCTTGCCTGTGAGATTTGCCTCCCGCCTGGGAGTCTGGGGGACGCGGTGATGCCATCCTTGCCCCACCCTGGCTTTCAGAGCTCTCTCCTCTCCTCCTTGTGTGCCCGTGAGGTGGCTCACGGGCACGTGTGAGTCTCACACAGGTCTTGAGGGAGCAGGTGTGTTTCTGGGCCTGAGGCTGCTCCTTGGTGGTGAGGGTGTCCCCACGAGCCGTGTCTGTGGCGCCTGCAGCCGCCTGCGTGTCCATCTGTGTCCACATCTGCCTTTGAGCCTCATCTTCCTGGCCCCATGGTTTTCTCGTGCTGTGACCCAAAAGCCCAGCGTTCCAGGGTGTTCTGCTGCTGAAATTGAGTTGTGAGCGTGTCTCCCTCCTCGCTCCCGTCTGAAGGAGAAGCGTGGTCGGTAGATAGACGCCTCAGACCTTTGTGTTTTCTTCACGTCTGTCTGTTGGCAGCTCCTTACACTATTGTGCTTGCTTTAGCAACTTAGCTGTTGTCGACTTAATGCGTTTCATGACGTTCTGCAGCAAGGAAGAAGGTCCGAGTTTCCACTCTGAATCAGGCGCCTTCGCTCCCCTCCCACCTCACTTGACTTCCTGTGGGGTATGTGGTGTCTGCGCCTATAGATGAGGACACTGAGGCCTCAAGAGGGCAAGTGACTTGCCCAAGGTCACGGAACCCTAAATCAGTTCTGGAGAAGGACCCCCTGACCCCAGCCCGCCTCCCCTGCCCCTCAGCAGGCCTGGCCCCAGCACAGAGAAGAGCCATTGTCGCCGCTCTCAGGGCCCTGGGAGCCTGGGATGTATCCTGCCTTTGTTTCTAGAGCCTTTGTTTGTTATATTTCCTCTGTCTCCAGACATCGCAGGCCGGTGGGGCCTGGCCCCTGTGCGCGCTCACGTAGCGGGGCCTGTTCAGGTCCCTCGTCGGTCCCTTGAGTCCGAGCTCTGTCCTTGCCTCAGCGGCCCGTCACCCGTAGGGTGGCAGAGATGGGCTGGGGAGGGAGTGGGCAGCAGTGCGGACCGAGTCCTGGTGCATGGGGTTTCTCTGGTGCTGGAGCCCACGTTTGGGGGGTGGGCGGGGCTGGGGTCATATCCCCTGCGTGCCCTGCATGCCCAGGCTGTGCTCACATGGCAAGAGGTGGTGATCGCCAGCTGAGGGAGGGTGGAGGGTCCTTCATCCCGTGGAGAGGAGGCTGAATTGGGGTTCCCTGAGCTGTAGGGTGCAGTGCCTGACAGGCCGCGGGGAGGGCTGAGGGGATGGGATGGATAGGCCCTGGGCCCATGCCGCCCCCTGGCACGGGTGGATGCCCCACCTACCGGGGGTGCCCAGCTGGACCATGGCACCCCCAAAGGACCCCACATGCCACTGTTCCCCCGCAGGGCTTCCCACGGCACGACATGGAGACCTGTGGTCGCGAGGCTCCCTGGGGCTCGGCTTGGACCGCGATGGGGCTGGGCCCTGGCCTCCTAACGGGGCTCCTGTCTGGGGCGGTAGCTGGGGGGGCGCCCTCCCCCCTGCCCGCAACTCGGAGCACCCCCACCCCTCCCCTGCTGGGCCAGGCCGGGTGGCGTTGTTGGCGGGGGCCCCGGTGGAGGCCCGGCCCGGGCGGCGCCCGCCATGAACGGGCTGTCGCTGAGTGAGCTCTGCTGCCTCTTCTGCTGCCCGCCCTGCCCCGGCCGCATCGCTGCCAAGCTCGCCTTCCTGCCGCCGGAGGCCACCTACTCCCTGGTGCCTGAACCCGAGTCAGGGCCTGGTGGGGCCGGGGCCGCCCCCTTGGGGACCCTGCGGGCCTCCTCGGGTGCACCCGGGCGCTGGAAGCTGCACCTGACGGAGCGTGCCGACTTCCAGTACAGCCAGCGCGAGCTGGACACCATCGAGGTCTTCCCCACCAAGAGCGCCCGCGGCAACCGTGTCTCCTGCATGTATGTTCGCTGCGTGCCTGGTGCCAGGTAAGCAGCTGTGGCCGCGCCCGGGCTGGGTCACCCTGTTCTTGGGGCTCCCGTTTCTGCCCCGGGTGCTTGGTGTGGTTGGTGGTGCCCCAGAGGGCCTGAGCCTGCTGTGAAGGGCCATCCAGCTGGCATGGGTGGTGTCCCCGGCCGGGCTGGCCTCATCCCTCCAGCGATTTCCTCTCGCAGACAAGGATACCAGGCTCAGGGAGGCCATCCCCAGCTGGCATAGTTGGGCAGGCCGGGCGACTCCAGCGACCCAGCCCCTGGTGGTTGCCTGCTGGGGTGGGGCACAGGGGCCGCCCTGACCTACATCCACCTTGCCAGGTGGGGTTCTGACCAGATCTGAGTCCAGAGGGCGAGCCTTTACCTTCTGGCTGGGCTGGGCAGGGTCCTGGGGGAACTGGAGGAAGCAGTCCATGGTAGGGCCAGCCTGGCCGCCTGCTCCTGGCACCACCTGGGGCAGCTCCCGTGCTGGGAAGCAGACAGGCCTTGCAGCACGGCCTCGGGGCTTGGGCAGGGTGGCGGGGCAGGAGGGGCTGCGTGAATGTGAGCAGGGATTGGGCGCATTTGCTTGTTGGGGGCAGGGGTGGGGTCCAGTTGTTCCCAACAGTGAGGGCACCATTCTGTGAGGGGAGGGCAGATAGCCCTGCCAGCAGCAGCACGGTCTTCCCTGGGAAGGTCCTGAAAGGTGGGCCTGTGTGCTCCATCCCCGGGGGTCCCGGCCCTTCCAGGAGGAAGGGCTCCAGGGCAGCGAGACCTGCAGCATCCGGGCACGCACTGCGCGTCCGCCCAGAGAGAGGATGTGACCAATGGTCCCAGTGTCCCGCTTCACAAATGGGAGTCCTGAGGCTCCCTGGCTGGCCTCTCTGCAGCCCAGGCTGCCTGTACCCCTGCCGGCTCTCCTGTTCTCTCCCCATGGGGACCCCCCGGAGATGGAGCTGTGCTGTCGTAGCCTCCCCTGTCCATTCGCTGGCTTCGGGCCCCCTTGAGAGGGGAGTAAACAAGGCGCTGGGCATGGCTGGCCACCGGGGTGGGCTGTCAGTACGCGTCCTCCTGCCCTGCAGCTGGGCGCTGGGAATGAGGATGTGAACGGCCCTTCCCGGCCTGCCCCAGGTACACGGTCCTCTTCTCGCACGGCAACGCTGTGGACCTGGGCCAGATGAGCAGCTTCTACATTGGCCTGGGCTCCCGCCTCCATTGCAACATCTTCTCCTATGACTACTCCGGCTATGGTGCCAGCTCGGGCAGGCCGTCCGAGAGGAACCTCTATGCCGACATTGACGCCGCCTGGCAGGCCCTGCGCACCAGGTGAGGGCAGCCCTGGAGGCAGCTCAGCCTGGGCACACGCGAGAGGGGACTGGGCTGGGAGGGCGGGCTTCCCTGGGAGGAAGGTGGGTGGCCCTGCAGCAGGGGAGCCACAGTGGACGCACAGGGCCAGAGAGCCAGACAGGCGAGCTCGGGTGTGTGGGTGCCGCCTCCACGTGGCCGAGGTGTGGCCAGGCGGTCCTCCCACACCCTGGCCTGTGGAGCCAGGCTTCCTGGGAGCCCCTGGCCTGAAGATGGGAAGGGGGTGAGCTTGTCACAGGGGCGTGGATGCCACCTGGTGGGAGGGGTTCGTGGTGTTTGGGGGTCTGCACATGTGGCTGGGAGCCCATCGGCTGAGGCAGCACTTGGGGCCAGGTGCGGCGAGGCTGCTGCATGCAGGTCCCGAGGCCTGGCCCATAAGGCCCTGTGGCTGTGGGGCTCGGCCGCCCAAGGCAGGGTCAAGGTCTGGGCCAGCCTTGATTCCAGATCCGGCCCTCCTGGCTATCCAGGTCCCCAGCCCTGCGCTTGCCGGGGCTCTTCACCGGTGTTTGAACACTGCCCGGGCTGGTGCTGCTTTGGATGAGGAGACCCGGGTGGGCCTCTGGAGGCCTTTCCTGCTCACCACCCACTGGGGCTGTCTCGTCCTGGCCCTGCCCAGCCCACTGGTCTGACCCGCTCCCGCAGGGACCAGGCGCAGCTCTGAGAAGTCAGAGGCCCTGGGGAGGTGGGGTCCTCATTGCCTTGGCGATATCCCGGGCAGTCCCTGCTGTGGGCCTGGGAGCTGGGTACCCTGGCACCACCCTGGCTCTGGGGGCCTCCCGGCAGTGTGAGGCACTGACACCGACCACCGCTTCATGCGGCTTCCTCGGCCCCTCCTGTCTACTGCCCGGGGCACTGGCAGAGTCACACCTGCCATGGCCAGCTCTAAGCTCTGTCTGCTGGGCCATCTGTCCTGCTGCCGCTTTGTCCTGCAGGAACTTAGGCCCAGAGCTGTGAGGGGGAGGCCAGAGTGTGCCCAGGGCCTCCACTGGGGATGTGTTCTGTTGTTTGAGTGGTGACATCCAGATGGCAGCTGGGGTCTCCTGCGTGGAGCAGGTGACGGCTGGGCTGACTCAGCACACTACTGGCCATGGCTGCTAGGGAGCAGGCCAGGGAGGCTGGGGCAGAGCTGGGGCCGCAGGCACAAGTCAGGCAGCACCCTTTGGGGCATGGGTGAGTGCTGAGCTGGAGTACTGCCAGGAGACTGGGGTTCCAGGCCAGGGACAGGGACAGGCTTGCTGGTGGAGTCTGAATGCCAGGCAGACGGGACGCACACCTGCCCATGCTCCTGCCTCGCAGGAGGGCAGCTGCCTGGAATCAGAGCCTGGAGCGTGTTGGGGGGAGAGTTGTGGGGTCCCGGCATGGGCAGGGTGGCAGGCGGGTCCCGCATGGTTGGGACTGGGCACGAGGAGGCCTTGGAACTGGTGCTGGATCAGCTGGGCCAGGGGCCGCACACCAGTGACCTGGGGGTGGGGGTGGCCCTGCGTGGGAGCTGGTGGTGCTGAGGTGGCCGAGGACTTGTCCACTCCCAAGGGAAGGTGCTGGTGGGCAGAGGTGCCACCCCCGCAGCCACCACCCTTGATGCCGACCTGGGTTGCACTGGCACCTCACTGGGTGTGGGGACTCTGAGAGTCCAAAATTGGGTGGAGACATCTGGGGACACAGCTGCCTGAATTCCTCATGGCCAAGGGGGTGGGCAAGGGCTGCAGGGAGGAAGAGTATCCCCTGTCCGGGCCAGTGCACTAGGAACGGCTTTCTAACCCGGGCAGGAAAGCGTGAAACATTCAGGATATGGGGGGCACACACTTCCCAGTGTGCGCCTAGGGGTGACCAGGAGGAGGAGAGGCGCTAGGGCTTCCCCTACCCCAGCCCCAGGGTCACTCCGTAGGCGGGATCCCTGCAGATCCTGGCGAGGAAACGCCAGTGAATGGCAGCGCCAGGGAATGGGGCGGGGCCGCTGGCTCCGCCCACCGCTGCGGTGATTGGGGGCTGGGGGAGGCCCTCGGGACTGGTGTGGAGCGTGGGCCTGACCCACTGACTTGGCTGAGCGGGGAGACTGGAGGGTCGCATCCGGAGCTGGGCCCGGGGACGCCCGCCGGCGGGAAGGGTGCGCGCGCGTCGGAGGCCGCGGCTGACCCTGCTCCGGCGCCGCCAGGTACGGCATCAGCCCGGACAGCATCATCCTGTACGGGCAGAGCATCGGCACGGTGCCCACCGTGGACCTGGCCTCGCGCTACGAGTGCGCCGCGGTGGTGCTGCACTCACCGCTCACCTCGGGCATGCGCGTCGCCTTCCCCGACACCAAGAAGACCTACTGCTTCGACGCCTTCCCCAAGTGAGCGGGCCGGGGCTGGGACGGGGGCGGGGCGGGGCCCGGACTGGGCGCGAGGTCTCACCCGCCCCACGCCCGTCCCGCAGCATCGAGAAGGTGTCCAAGATCACGTCGCCCGTGCTCATCATCCACGGCACGGAGGACGAGGTGATCGACTTCTCGCACGGGCTGGCCCTCTACGAGCGCTGCCCCAAGGCCGTGGAGCCGCTGTGGGTGGAGGGTGCCGGGCACAACGACATCGAGCTCTACAGCCAGTACCTGGAGCGCCTGCGCCGCTTCATCTCCCAGGAGCTGCCCAGCCAGCGCGCCTAGCGGCGGCCGGGGCCCCAACCGGCCGGACCTCAGCAATAAGGCGGCCCCTGGACCTCACCCCGCGCCGGCCCCCCAGGGGCTGCATGTGGACCCCCGGGCGGCCCAGGGGACCCCGCCCCGACCCAGGGGCCGTGGACGATGTACAGGCAACAGAGCTACGCACTCCTTTCCTTTTGGAAGCAAGAAGAAAATACGTGAAAACGGAAATTAAAGATTTAAAATTTTAGGACTGCTCTCCTTCCTTTCATGGCTCTGCTCACTCTCTCGAGGGCTCAGCGGGCTCGAAAGGGGGCCGGGGTTCCCAGGTTTCGCCCCTGAGTCCCCAGGAAAGATTGGCACGGACCCCCGTATGAGTTTTCTCCTCTGTGGAAGCGGGGTGGGTCTCGGTCTAGTCCGGGGGGCCCTTAGGGAGCTGGATGCCTGGGTGGTGATGGGTCGGGGCAGCATTTGAGCCCAGGACCCCTGCCTACCTCCTGCGGAGGCTGGTGAGCTCTGCTGGGTGGGCGCGATGAGGACGCCAGGCGTGGGGGCCCTGCTGTCATCGCGGGACCGCCCCCTCGACAGCTTCCCATCAGTCGTACTGCAGAGAGGCCAGGACAGGGCACTCTGGGTCCTGAGGTGCCGCGCTTGACGGACCCCAGAGCTCGGGCAAGCAGGCCGCTTCCTTTGTAGATGGCGAAGCTGGGGGTCCAGCAGAGGGCGGTGGCAGGTGCTTGGGCCCCAAGGGTCTCCTCTGGAAGAGGGAGCCGACCCTGGAGCTGGGGTCACGAGAAGAGTTCCTACGACCTCTAGGGCAGAAGCCCTAGGACTGGGAGGACTCGGGAACCGGTGGCCTGTCGTCCACCTTACGATTGGGCAGGGTTCAGCCTGTGTCGCGCGACCAGGCGGTGGTGAGGCCGGGACCCCAAGCTGCCTCCAAGTAGCTCTAGTCCGCGGCTCCTTTAAGAGAGGGCGGTGCTTCAGCCTGGGCGAGAGAAGGGCGCCGCGTCACCTGCGGGGCCGCGGCACTGACGGAAGCGGAAGTGGCGGCGCGCGTGCGGAAGTGGAGATGGCGGCGGTGGCTGGCGTCAGGCTGTGGACGAAGAGGCGGTCTCGGTGGTAAGTGGCGGCTGCTGGGACCCAGCCAGGGACCCGTCCGCTTCGGCCCTGCCCGTTTCCGGCCCCTCCCACGCCTTCCCTCGGCCTAGAGTTCCTCGTGGGCGCGTGGAGGCCGCCGCGGGGTCGGTGCTGTGGGGCAGCGCCCGCCGTTCCATGGGAAGCGGTGCGACCGGACGTTCGGAAGGAAACCTCGCTAGAGCAGGGAATGCCTGGGCTCCTGGCTGCCCACGGGGCCTTTGCACGGCCTAGACTTTGCGACCGCAGTGGCCTCCTTCTGTCCCCGGTCGTGCGCCGCGCCCCCCAGCGCGGCTCACGTTTCGGAACACGTCTGACTTTCATGCCTTCCGAAGAGCCTCCCCGCATCCCGTGCCCCCTGCTCGCTGCTGCCGCTGACCCTTGGGCGTTGCGCTCGTCCAGAGCGTGTTGTCTTCTGATGCCGTCAGAACCTAAGCTCCCTGCGAGCTGGGACTCCGCCGTGTCCTCATTGCCGCCAGTGCAAAGCAACTGCTTGCAAGAGAACAAAAGTGTGTTCAGGTGCACAGGGTAGAAAATTCAAGGAGCCTGAAAGGGTGTTTGGTGAAGACTTGATGTGTTTTTCCCAGTCCTAACCTCCGAGGCCCAGTTCTCCTCCCCTGGGGCAGAGAGAAACCCGTTTCTTACGTGTCAACAGAGAAAGTATATGCAGGAACATGTACATGCGTTTCTGCAAAAGGTCAGTTTCTTTACTTGGGGTCCTTATACTTAATGTAGCTTAGGGGGCGCCCATACGTTCATATACAGGTGGGATTAACACGAAAACGGAGTTTTATAGCTCCAGAATTTATCCCCTTTCCTGTGGAAATTTAGAGTCTTTACTTTTATAACGAACAATGCTAACTTGACAGCATTCCTTGTACAAACCCTTTTTTGCCCAAGTCGGACTATTTTCTTTTTTTTTTTTTTTTTGAGACTGAGTCTGGCTCTGTCGCCCAGGCTGGAGTGCAGTGGCCGGATCTCAGCTCACTGCAAGCTCCGCCTCCCGGGTTTACGCCATTCTCCTGCCTCAGCCTCCCGAGTAGCTGGGACCACAGGCGCCCGCCACTTCGCCTGCCTAGTTTTTTGTATTTTTTAGTAGAGATGGGGTTTCACCGTGTTAGCCAGGATGGTCTCGATCTCCTGACCTTGTGATCCGCCCGTCTCGGCCTCCCAAAGTGCTGGGATTACAGGCTTGAGCCACCGCGCCCGGCTGGACTATTTTCTTAGGCTAAATTCCTTGGTGCAGAAGTGCTAGGGGCTTTATTTAGGCCCCTAAAGGGGTGGTACCAAATTGCCCTCCCCCACCAGCATGGAAGAGGGGGCCAGCGACACCTTGCCCAAGCTGGATTTTGTAGACCTGGTAGGCGTGAGATAGTGTTTCACTGTAGCTTTAGTTGTATTTCCTGTAAGTATAATGAAACATCGTAATGCTCCTGTCACGTCTATTTTACGTTGATGATTGTTACCACTGATAATCATTTCGAGATTGGAAAATATATTTATTATAAACGTTTGACTATTTAAAAGCCATTTGTATTTGATCTTTTTGGCTCATTGTTGTGTTGGGTGGATGGTGGTGGTTTCTAGGTGCACTTCACAGATTAAGGAAATTCACCTTTTGTCTAGTAGAAGTGTTTGTTTTTTCTATCTGTCATTAGGTCTTTGACTTTGTGTGTATTTTTTTCTACAAGCCAGGCATCTAAAATTGTTACTGGTCATTAGTTTTTTTCCCTTTACGGCTTCTGCACTTTTGGTGTCATCTCAGGAATATCGCTCTGTAAGATTATAAAACATTTGAGGTTTTCTTCTGCAAATGTAGTGTTTTCTTTTTCCCCCTCATCTATTTAAATGTTTACATCTAATTTTAGAAAATATTCCTGGTAAGGCCGGGCGCGGTGGCTCACGCCTGTAATCGCAGCACTTTGGGAGGCCGAGGTGGGCGGATCACGAGGTCAGGAGATCGAGACCATCCTGGCTAACACAGTAGAACCCTGTCTTTACTAAAAATACAAAAAATTGGCCGGGCGTGGTGGCGGGCACTTGTAGTCCCAGTTACTCGGGAGGCTGAGGCAGGAGAACCTGGGAGGCAGAGCTTGCAGTGAGCAGAGATCGCGCCACCGCACTCCAGCCTGTGTGACAGAGTGAGACTCTGTCTCAAAAAAAAAAAAAGGAAAGTATTCCTGGTAAGAAGTAAGGTAGGAAGCAAAACTTTTTTCCCCAAATAGTCCCAACTTTATTTCCCAAAAAAGCATTCTTTTCCCCACTGAAGTGCTGTCTTTATGGCAAGTGGATTCGGGTCTGTCTCCTGACTCTTATCCCAGTTTTCCAGAACCCCATTGTCTTTATGACCCACTGTCTGGAGGCCCCACCTCCCTGCATTATTTTGCACATTTCTTTTTTTCTCCTGAACAGCAGGCAAGTTTATCTGGTTCTCCCACCGTGGTGATCTTCTTTGAAAACGTTGAGATTGCTTAGATTCTTAGATTTATAGATCAAACTGAGATAAAATTCTCATCTTAAAATAGTTGACAACTTCAGCTGATCCACGTGGTACGAGTTCCACACGACACTGTGGTGAAGAGGATTTTGGAAATCTCTGTATTTGGGGCCACCCCTCCCGCCGTGCGGGCTGTGGATATTCCCTGTGGGCGATGCTGACCTTGGTTTCAGGCAGCCCCATTCTCAAGCTGCTGCGAACTCGGAGCCGAGGTTTCGGTAGCGCTCCCAGACGCCTGCAGTGTACGTGTCTGTGTTCCCTCAGCCTGCCCCCCTCACATGGGGTAAACTGAGTCCGGGCCTTCAGGCTGCAGGCTCTCAGGCCAACTTCTACCCTCGACCTCTCCCCACCACCCCCTGCTCTTGGGACCCGGGAGGACCCCGCAAGGGCGGTGACAGGGAAGGCCAGCGCTCTGTTCCAGGACGCATGCTCTCGCCACCTCCCACTTGGTATGGCCCAGGGCCAGGCCACCTGGGAGCAGAGCCAACTTCCCGTTCTCCATTTTGTGTATTTTCCAGGACACACTTGCTGGAGCTCGGCAGCAGCCTTCTCCCGGGTAGGCGCCTGGGGGCTGAATCTCTGGTCCACCCTGTGTCACCTGCAACTGGTACACCCCAGGGCGGGCCCCTGGGTGCCGGAACAGACAACAGCCAGGTGACGCTGTGGCCTAGGCCCAGTCTGGTTACCTGGAGCCCTGGGAGGGGTGGGGAGGCAGACCCTGCCCAGGGCCAGTGTCTGGAGCATGGTTGCTGTGGATGTGGCAGAGGCTTGCCTGAAATGTGGGCTAGGCCCTTCCAGTGGGTCAGGTCTGGGGTGGTGCCCAGGGCTGTGCACCCCCAGGCTGCTGCCCAGTGGACCAGTGGCCTGTCAGCCCCGACTGGCATTCACGGGGTCCCAGCATGGGTGTGTGGGCGGCTGACCCAGGCTCTTATGATGCTGTGGCTGTTGTTCGTCCGTCGTCCCATTAATGCCAAGCTGGTAGGACCCACCTGGCTGACTGTGTTCTGCATGACCCGAGGGCCCACTGGGGTTCTGGAAGAGGATGGAGACCATTCCTGCTTGGCTGTGATTCCGTCCTCCGGTGGCCGTGACCTGAGGTGGGGCCTCTGGGAGCAGGCGCCTCCTCTTTCCTCCCCCATGGCGGGCACCTGCCTGTCCACCTCTGAATCTCGGTGTCAGCATCAAGGTAGGAGTGCAGGGCCGGCTTGTTAACTGGGATTCCGTCCAGCGGGCGCCCAGCCAGTGTCAGAGTGGCCCAGGGGCCACCACGAGCCCCTGGTCCCGCTTCCCTCCTGGTTCCAGGCTCCAGCTACGGGCCACGTCCATCTTCACGCGACTCTGGACTGCTGGGGTCACTGTCCCTGCTTCCCCACTGAGAGAAGTAGCCGAGACCCCGACCAGGCCTGTGCTCCCTTGGCACTCAGCATCTCCCAGCCACGACAGCACCGGTGGCTCAGAAATAAGGTCCCGGGACAGATGTGCCCGGCCAGACAGCGAGCTCTCCTGCCAGACCAGAGGCTGTTCTCTCCCCAGCACCCAGCCGGAAGCAGGGCTCGGAACAGGCACCGTGCGTGTCCATGGAGGATGACAGCGCGACTTTGGGACCGGCCCTACCC